TGTGATACGTGTGCTTCTAGTGTGTGGACAGACCGTGTGGCCAAAGTACGTTCATGATGTCGCAGTGCCATGGGGATTTGCGCGGCCTTGGTGGGAAGTGCGTTTGCGTGGCGCCGTGCCACTGGGAGCACGAAACATGCTGGCGTAAACGCGGCGTGTCGCTGGTGAGCGGGATCATTGGCGGTATCATGGGATATGTTTGCTTCTAGTGTGTGGCGGACCGTGTGGTCAAGGTACGTTCGCCATGTCGCAGTGCCATTGGGATTTGCGCGGCCTTGGTGGGAAGTGTGTTTGCGTGGCGCCGTGCCACTGGGGAGCGCGAAACATGCTGGCGTAAACGCGGCGTGTCGCTGGTGAGCGGGATCATTGGTGGTATCATGTGATATGTTTGCTTCTAGTGTGTGGACAGACCGTGTGGCCAAGGTACGTTCGTGATGTCACAGTGCCATTGGGATTTGCGCGGCCTTGGTGGGAAGTGCGTTTGCGTGGCGCCGTGCCACTGGGGAGCGCGGAACACGCTGGCGCGAACGCGGCGTGTCGCTGGTGAGCGGGATCATTGTGGTATCAAGAGTGTCCCATAAGAGTGCCCCGCAAGAGCTTCCTACAAGAGTGACCCACAAGAGTGTCCTACAAGACGGCGTGTCGCTGGTGAGAGAGATGATTGGTTGTATTATGTGATATGTTTGCTTCTAGTATGTTCGTGACCTCTTCAGCGTTGTGCTGACACAGCGAGAAATGCACCAAGGTTGGCGCTCCTGAGCCACAACGTTGCGCTGCCGTTTCATCTGCACATCGACGTCTACACCCCCTCACCTCTGTACAAACACAGACATAGATACACACATAGACACACACACAGAGACCCACACACTTACTCAACACACTAGACTGAACACTTCACACTTAACACTTAACGCACAACTCACATTCTAACTTCACACGTGGTGAAAAATGCTTTAGGGCCACTCGTCGTCTAGTTTAATAGACATGTATCCCGCAGAGGGGGCCCAAGGCATCGCCTGCGCTCCGAGGTTGGGCTTGCAGCCGACGGCGACCGTGGTCGAGGCCAATCTAAGAAGGGTCGATGCCGCCGGTTTCACCGAAGGGTCGCGGCCAAGAGCCAAAAACGCCGGAAGGGGGTTTGTTTGCCCCCTGAACTGAAGACACTTGATGTAAATCCGCCGGTGTTTGTTCGCAGTTCAGGGGGCAACATGGGGCAACAAAGGCGCCCGATAATCCATCGGAATCCCTAAAAAGGGTTCACAGGACTGGAACATGTTTCTGTGTAGGAGAATGTGTGGATTCAGCAAGGAGGGTAGACTAGTACAACCCCCCATTTGGCTTGCAAAACCCCTGAAAACACTTCTTCCATATTTTGGGGGGGAGAATTATGAATTCAAGAGTTTACATGAATCGGCTGGTTGTTGATGAGCATGGTGGGTCGTTCCTCCAGCCCCCGGTCGCAGCCAGCCCCTCCCCCAGCCCAGTCCCGCCCTCGCTGACGTGGGCGGATTCGAGGCCCCCCGTTGGTTGGTTCCCACCTTGAAAAGAAACCATTTGTTCCATGTCCCAGTCGGTTGGTCACGGGTGAAAAGCAGAAGAATACTTGTCCCTGCTCTTGGAGAATGTTGGGATGTCAACCAAGTCCCTCTTGTGATCGGCAGGTTGACTGGCGATCCCTTTCACTCATGTGCAATCGGGTGAGAGGGCCCCACCTTTCAGACAAACCTGCCAGGTCCGGAAAGCATATCGGAAGCTGGCACTCAAATACCATCCCGACAAGAGCAAGGACTGGAGTGTTCTCCTGGTGATCCAGCGATGGCTTGAAGGTGTCCGGAATAAAACTCGGCTGGTTGAATTTTGGATATATATATATATATGTATATATAGTCAGCATGATAGCTGGTTTCTACCAGTTTGCCACCTGTTTGTGATGTCTAGCACCCTCTGAGCAGGGCAGTTTCCAGACATGTTGGGGTTGGAAGGGGGGGGCCCTGTGCACCGTTGGAAAACCAAGGTCTAAGGAGGCTGATGAAGTCATCATTCTCTGTCCTGAGTCTACGGAGGTGGTATGGGCTGTTGCAGTTGACGCATGTGTACGCCAGATCCTTGGGGGGTTCACTTTGGCTGATTCCAGCCACGTTCCGCAAGTCTTCAGCCACGTTTCGTGCGAGCGTTCGCTGCAAGTTCGCGTCCGTGAGTGCCATCCACCGTTGGAGGACGTTCTTAGGACATGCCCCAACCCGCGAGGATCCTCCAGTTGACGTTTGCCAAAAACCATCAAAAACCAGATGCTTTCAGCTTCATTCAGACTCCCATTCTGAATCCTCTTCTTTCGTGGTCGGTCTGGAAGGCACCAGGCGCTTACAGGTGCTTGCAGGCGACGTCGATGCGATCCTTGGCTTAGTCCTGGTCCTGCAGTCAAGTCCTTGCGTTGGACCGGCAAAACCGGAAGATGAACGAAAGATCTTTGGAGTCCATGGCGGTGGGCTCTGAGGTTTTGATTTACCAGTGCCGGGTGGGCACTGGTCGACTTCCCAAACAAATATGGGACTAAACCTTGGAAGATGAGCACGTCCTTTGTGAGGGCGACATGTCACATCGTTTGACCGTTCGTCATAGCCATCGCCATGTTTTGTTCAGGTCGTGAGGCCCTCAACGTCGTACTCACGTCGTAACGTCCGTCATGTCTCAATCCATCCGAGCACATCAGAACACCGTGGGAAGTCACAAGCCTTTGATAGGATCGACCCACACGGCTCGCCACCGGGCCGGCAGGACGTGGACGACGGTGCGCGGTTCAAAGAGCTCAGCATCGCCTACCAGGTGCTCCATGGCGGGTGTTTGACCGAGGAAAGGGCCGCAGAAAGGGCACTGGTGGAAATCTGGTGGAAACGGCCAACAATTTGTTTCTGCCCAGGTCGTTCTTCCCGGATACTCCCAGGTCGTTGTGGAAGCCCAAGGCCAAAGAGAAGAACAGGATGTGGAGTCATGGACCATGCAAGATTCCAAATGGCACACGATTTAAACCTTGCCGGTCCCGGGGGATTTGACCGGTCTCGCGGGTGGCTGAACACTGGGGAGGTCCCAAACACGGGCCGTCAGGCATTGTGTGAGCTGCTCGACTAGGCGTGGGTTTGGGCGTGGGTTTGAGCGAAAACTGGTTAAGTCCTACTTCTGTAAGTTGATTCCAAATGAGATTTCAGGAACTGGGCAGATTGGGGGTTGGCACTGGACTCAGCCGATCCACCATGTAGTAGCTTGCAGGTGCGGGTTTGTGTCCATAAAAAGGCAAAGGAGAGAACAAGTCAGAGAAGTGAAATCAAATCCTCTCCTTTTCCTGGGACCGACAACCGAGACCTTCCATGGAGACCGGGACCCTCGGGAGAGGGCATGAAACCCACACCCTCGGGACCCTCGGAACTTTCGAGTCTGCATGGAAGTTGTGTCCCTCGTGAATCTTGAATCATGTTCGTCTTTTGAAGTATAAGCTGTATACATCTGTATACATTAAGAACCATTGGCGTTTGGGTTCGCTGAATGCTTCACAACATCATTGTCCTTTGTCTCGGTTCCTTGGTTCCTTAAGCCCATGAAAGGGGTTTCGGGGGGGCCGACCATCATCCCCAATCGGTTCCTACAACCATACATAGGTCTTGTCAATCCTTGGGCCCTCCCTGGCGGCAATGTGGCCATTTTCCAGGCGCTGCGTGACCCAAAGCTGGCACAAAATGCTGCGAATTCTGCGGGGTTTGAAGAAGACAGGTGGTCGTCATGGACTAGATTTGTGTGAAAAGCTGAAAAGCGTTGAAAAGCTGTGTTCCAGTTGGGAATGTCCTTCGGGGCATGAGCAAATCAGTAGCTGAAGAAATAGAGGCAGGCGAGTCCCGGCAACCAAACGAGCTTGGAAACCTTTCTGGACGAAGGACGATAAGTTTTTTTCAGATGTGTTCTACTGGCTTCAGCTAGTGGCTGCTAGTGTCACCTACTAATTGTTTGGGTTTGGGCTTAATTATAAGATGTGGTTTCTGGCACGCCACAACTGGCTCCAACGGAATATAAGTTATAGAGAAGTGAAGACAGTACAATGTTACAATCGGTTGCCGGTCTTGCTCCCGCACCCGAAAACACACCTAGGTTTGTGGCCCAACCCCAGAGGTGAACTTAAAAGAGATGGAGTTTTTGTTGCCGAAAAAAGGATGATTCGAAGCAACTTCGCTCTCTAAGACCTAAATCAAAGATCAACAAAGCGTATGGATGCTTTTCGGGCACCCCGATGCTCGGTGTGTCTTCCGCTTTCAGACTCGGTGGTCGATGGCCGAGACCGATCGTGCAATACCGCTTCGACTCGGCGCGGGGGCATCGCTACGAGTCCGGAGCGATCGGACGCGACGAGTCCGGGGCGCTCCTGGCCCGAGACGAACGGAGATCGAAGCTACGCATGGTCGGAACCCTGGTCTTGGTGTCACGGTTGTGCGAGCGGTTTCAAACCCATGTGACCATACCGGGAACCTGGTATGTGACCACTGGGTGCCTCACCCTGTGGCTTTTCTTCGGCGTGCGGCTCGGCACAGAGGCTTGTGGCGGCGAGAACGACACAGCCATCGAGGCATCCCGCAGCTTTCGGATCAGAGACTGTTGAGTTCGGATCAGGACTCACTTGTCACTGTAAGAACGGCCTGCTGCTTTGCGCTGCAGAGCTGAATCTGCTTAGCTTGGCACAGTGATGCAGCAACAGAGCAAGAGGACATACAGTAATAGTTCCGAGGCAAAATCGCTACGGAGCTCAGAGAGCCAGCATGAGCCAGCAAGTTTCATATCGTTTCTCTCAACATCTAACAACATCACCGGCATACTGGCATACTTGAAAACCCCAGCCCTGCACTACATCATTATTGTGAATCAACAATTCCATTTGTTTCCATGTCCCATTTGCATTCGACTTCGCTGCAGCTCATGTGGTGATTTTTATAGCCCGTCCCCTGAGCTTCAAGAGAGGGATCAATCACTGAGCTCCGCTGATTTTTTGGACCAGCCATGTCTTCTGGAGCCGAGTCTGTTGGCTGACTGGGCGAAACCGAAGCGCTGGAGGACTCAGAGTATCATAGAGTATCCAGAAATGGGGACAGCGAGGTGATTGGAGCTCCTGTTTTATATACAGACGTCTCACCGGTGAAAGGGAGCTGGTCAAGTTGGCTGTCGGGGGAGTGTACAACGACAATCGCAACAAAGTGTGGGTAGAAGCTGTACATTCGACCATTGGATATACTTTTTCTGTACCTATAGCTTTCACATGGAAACAGAGAGGTACCCTCTTTGGTACCTGTGGCGCTGATTGGAAAGTGAAAGGGCAGATGGCGGCAGACCCTACTTCGGAACTGAAGACGGTCTAGGCTCTAGGACTCTAGGCAAGATGTTTTCATCGTGGCTCATCTATGTAAACGAAAAATGAATGTGGCCACGCTTCGCGTGGTTTTCTCAGAAGAATTCAGAAGATGTAAAGCATAATTTGCGAACTCGTCAAAGTTGTGGTCCCACCGGCGCTATCAACTCCATCTCCACGGCGGTGTCTCACGGTCAAGCCAGTCACCACCCATGAAATACTCTCTTTGAGCTCACCTTGTGCAGTGGCCAAGGGTCAGGAAGCTGCAGACATCGAAAGACATCTACAGACTCGGTGTTTTGCTGCTCACCGAAAACCGGGTTTCTTACTAGTGATGGGAGCCAACTGGAACTCGACAGATTTGCCTCGGCTCCAGGCTATGGAAGGTTCCTTCCCCCCATCGCGGCATGCACAGTGCCTGGGCCGCACCAGTCAGACGACGCACAGCGATGGATGGACTTCGCGGCGGAAGGATGGAATTCGCGGATGGGGCTTGCGGAAAGTGTGTTCGTTCAATTGGGTCAAAATCTAAAAGGTATGTAATAAGGCTCTTGTATCAAGGCCTCAATTCATGTCATCGGATTGGACCTCCGTCTCGGTGCCGCACGTGGTGCTTCTAGCATTCGCACTGCCGCTGTTTGGCTTCATCACCGCTGTCGCCCATCAAGGCCCGGCACCCGAAACCCGAGGTACGGAGAGCATTGGGGGGAAGGTGCCGCACGATGCTTCAGCCTCGAAGCTGACATCCTGGACGAGGTGTCGCCGAGAAGGTCTCGGGTTTTTGGGGATTTGGGGCACGGCCTCATGTTTGTTCGCGTTTGCGTTCGAAGGCGCGCGAGACCTGAAGCGAGACCGCGAGAGTTTCGAAGAAGAGCTGCACCCTCGGACCAACGAGAAAATCGAAGCTGTTAAGACGGGCTTAATTAGGTTTGTTGGAAATGTGAGCGACAGCCTTCTCAATCCATTCATATATAGGCAGACTACTTGACAGAATCGAATCGATGTTGGGGGAGTAACAAGAAGCTACTAGTAACATCTAGTAACAAGGCACCTTACTGCTATAGTAACAAGAAGCTACTCGTAGCTCCTGGCATTACTACTAGTAAGAAGAAGCTACTAGGGGTTTTGGAATAGATTTCAGCATCGCTAAATCGCCTCGATGTCCGATCCTTACCAGACCTTAAACGGGCCCCTTGCGCGCGCGGCACGCATGTGTCGCGGCCCGCGGCCCCCGTTCTTCGCGGATGGCCCAAATTGGGCCTCGGAACGATCTGGGGGACGCTACCATTGGTCCAAACGTGGCCCTCTGGATAGACCTTGCTTTTTTGAGGAGGTCTCAAGCTGATCACGCCGGTCAAATTAGCGAGTCACGTTGCACCGTAGTATTACGGTACCTTCTTAATACCTGCAACATCCTGAAACCACCCCTTCGAACTGTTTGTTCGTTTGGAGAGAAGCTGGCCTAAGAGAGGACACCCCTCTGTCCAGATGGACGACTCGGCACCGGTTTCACCCAGGACCATGCAGTTCGCCTCATGCCAGTGCCGGATAGCTTTGTCGGGAGACCAGATCGGTCCTGGGAGTTGGGGATGAAGGCAACATTGAGACGGATACCACATATATATATATATATGATCGAGGGTCCTTTAGGTATCATTTCGTACTCAGAAGCAAACACAAATGATTTAATTTTCAATTCAAATATTTATTGCAAAAAGCATTTGTAAATTAAAAATTGATAGATTTTGATGTTTTATTTATTTTTTTAAAAGATTTATTTAATTTATTCAATTTTTCAAATTGTAACTTAAATATATTTAAAAGTTAAAATATTTCTTTTTGTTTGTGGATTCGGCTATTTAAAAAATTAAATAAATTAAATAAGTTAAATCGACGTGTATATATTTTTTTAATTTATTTATTTTTTAATTTACAAAAGGCTTTTGTAAATTAAAAAAATAAATAGATTTTGATTTATTTTTTTTATTTAAATTTACAAAAGGCTTTTGTAAATTAAAAATTGAATAGATTTTGATTTATTTTTTTAATTTTATTTAATTTTTTTTAATTTACAAAAGGCATTTGTAAATTAAAAAATAATTCGATTTCGATTTATTTTTTTAATTTTATTTATTTTTTTTAATTTATTTAATTTTTTAAATAGCCGGATGCCACTGAGTCACTCTATTAAATATAATTTTGTTTTTATTTTTAATTTACAAAAGGCTTTTGTAAATTAAAAATGTAAAGTAAAAAAATACATAGATTTTGATTTATTATTATTATTTATTTATTTAATTTTTTAAATTGTAAATTAAATATATTTAGAAATTAATATATTTCTTTTTGTTTGTGGATTTGGCTATTTAAAAAATTAAAAAAATTAAATAAATTAAATAAATTAAATCGACGTGTATCTATTTTTTTAATTTATTTAATTTTTTTTAATTTACAAAAGGCTTCTGTAAATTAAAAAATAAATAGATTTTGCTTTATTTTTTAATT